CTATAAAGGAAGAATAGTAGTTTCCGATTTTGAGGAGGCCTCAGGAAGCTTCCAATATGGCAGAAGGCAAAGGGGGAGCAAACATCTTACATGGCAGAGGGAGGAGCAAGAGAGAGAGGGAGGAAGTACTATATACTTTTAAACAAGCAGATCTTGCCAGAACACACTGACAAGCACAGTACTAAGCAGGATAGTGCCAAACTATTCATGAGAAATCGGCCTCCATGATCCAACCACCTCCGACTGATCCAAGGCCCCACCTCCAATATTAGGATTACAATTCCACATGAGATTTGGTGGGGACACAGATCAAAACCATATCACTGCGTAACTCAGGGAGAACCCATCTCGACGAAAAGTTAAAAAATAAGCCAGGCATGGTGGCCCACACCTGTAGTCCCAGCTACTCAAGAGTTCAAGGCTGCAGTAAGCTAAGATTGCACCACTGCCTAACAGCCTGGGTGTCAGCGTGACACCTTGTCTCTTAAAAAAAAAAAAAAAAGAGTTGAATTCATCCCATCATCTCCATCTCAGTTGCTGCTACTCTAATTTGAGATATCCTCCTTCCACTGGGACAAAAACAGTAGACTAACCCATCTACAATCTTGATCTCTTCAATCCATACTTTCATTAGAGTAATCATTCTAAAGCACAAAACTCATCATCTCTCTCCACTATTCAGTTTACATTTCTGTATGGTATCATGAAGGTTCAACAGAAAGAGATATATGTTCTGCCAAAGCTAATTTGTTCACAGCTCACCTGAATTTTACTGCCTTTCTTTTTTTTTTTTTTTTTTTGAGACGGAGTCTCACTCTGTCACCCAGGTTGGAGTGTAGTGGTGCGATCTCAGCTCACTGCAACCTCTGTCTCCTGGGTTCAAGTGATTCTCCTGCCTTAGCCTCCCGAGTAGCTGGGATTACAGGCACGTGCCTCCACGCCTAGCTAATTTTTGTATTTTTTAGTACAGACGGAGTTTCACCATGTTGGCCAGGCTGGTCTCGAACTCCTGACCTCGTGATCCACCCGCCTTGGCTTCCCAAAGTGTTGGGATTACAGGCGTCAGCCACCGCACCCGGCCCTGAAATTCTTGAAAAGATTAAAGAAGAAAATGAGTAATTATGTTCATGTTCTTGGAAAGGACTTTCAGTGTGACAGAAAAGAGATTCAGTTTTTTGTTTTTTGAGACAGGATCTCACTCTGTTATCCAGGCTGGAGTTCAGTGAGCATGATCTTGGCTCACTGCAGCCTCTACCTTATGGGTTCAGGTGATCTCTCACCTCAGTCACCCAAGTAGCTGGGATTTCGGGCATGCCACCATGCCTGGCTAATTTTTTGTATTTTTAGTAGAGACAGGGTTTCACCACATTGCCCAGGCTGGTGTCAAACTCCTAGGCTCAAGCGATCTGTCCACCTCGGCCTCCCAAAGTGCTTGGAGCCACTTCACCCAACTAGAGATTCCATTGTAAATATCAATGATGTTAAACAAAACCCCTGAAATATTAACTTTGAATTGTAATCATCTGTATATATTTCTGATTTTTTTTCCTTTAAAAAAAAAAAAATAGGCCAGGCATGGTGGCTCACGCCTGTAATCCCAGCACTTTGGGAGGCTGAGGAGGGTGGATCACTTGAGGTCAAGAGTTCAAAACCAGCCCGGCCAACATGGCAAAACCCCTTCTCTACTAAAGATACAAAAATTAGCCAGATGTAGTGGTGTGTGCCTGTAATCCCAGCTACTCGGGAGGCTGAGGCAGGAGAATCACTTTAGCTCAGGTGGCGGAGGTTGCAGTGAGCTGAGATTGCACCACTGCACTCCAGCCTGGGCAACAGAGCAAGACTCCATCTCAAAAAAAAGAAAAAAAAATTAGCCAGGTGTGGTGGTAAGTGCCTATAGTCCCAGCTACTCGGGAGGCTGACACAGGAGGATTGCCTGAACCCAGGAGTTCAAGGCTACAGTGAAGTGTGATCACGCCAGTTCACTCCACCCTGGGTAACAGTGAGATCCTGTCTCTAAAAAAGCCAAAAGCACACAAAAAACACACATCCTAGCTCTGTCCACTATAAAAGTCAAGTAGCAATGAGAAATAATAACACTATAGCAGCCAGGCGTGGTGGCTCATGCCTATAATCCCAACGCTTTGGGAGGCTGAGGCAGGCGGATCACCTGAGGTCAGGAGTTCGAGACCAGCCTGACCAACATGGTGAAACCCTGTCTCTACTAAAAATACAAAAATTAGCTGGGCGTGGTGGCGTGCACCTGTAATCCCAGCTACTCAGGCTAAATTTTTGTATTTTTGGTGGAGGTCAGGTTTCACCATATTGGCTGAAACCAATATGGTGAGGCTGAGGCAGGAAACTTGCTGGAACCTGGGAGGCAGAGGCTACAGTGAGCCAAGATCGTACCACTGCACTCCAGCCTGGGCAACAGAGCAAGACTCCATCTAAAAAAATAAATAAATAACACTATAGCAATGAACACTCCTACTATGCTGGTTATGGCCTCTAAATACCATTCCCTACTAAGACAAACAAAGGCTCTTTGGAGAAATGGCTGATTTCAGAATTGGGGCAGGAAAGTATACAAGATAGTACTGGAAAGTCTCATTGTACTTGAAAGAAAGGAAGGAAATCATAAAAGACAAAGAGGTCATATGAAAAGGATCTATAAGCCAACATGAAGAGACTCTCTGGCCAAACATGAGACAATTTAGTATTAAAGAACATTACAACTGAACCTGAAACACCGAATACATAAAAACACGCAATTTCCTAATGAAAGTTAAAAGTCTCCTCCCCATTCAAGAAACAAACAAACAATAGATCACGACTGTAGGTGTACAGCGTGTCAACTCTTTATTCTGAAAAATGTCAATTAAGGGGAAAAAGTTAAGCACATATCCTGTTTTTTTTTGTTTCAGATTATTATACATAGCAGTGTAACTTAATTAATAGTGAAGATTCTGTTTTACAAAAGAATTATAGCTAGTACACATAGAATATGTGAGACAATTGGAAACTCAGCATTTTGCAACTTCTAGGTAATTAATGATTCAGGCAATAGGCATGAGAACATACGAAAGGTTGATGGGGGCCTTTAAAATAAAGGGAATCATTGCCATCTGAACTTGCTGATCAGTTGTAGATTCACTATAGGTCTATCAGATAGTACATGTCTCCTGATAAGATGCAAAGTACATAGTACAGCCTATGAAATATCTTGCCCCCCAAAAATTTAGACCCAAATCTGATTTGTTGTGTGCAAAAAAAAAAAAAGACCAGGCGTGGTAGCTCATGGCTATAATCACAGCACTTTGGGAGGCCAAGGCGGGTGGATCACCTGAGGTCAGGAGTTCAAGACCAGCCTGGCCAATATGGTGAAACCCCATCTCTACTAAAAATATAAAAAATTAGCCAGGTATGGTGGTAGATGCCTGTAATCCCAACTACTCGGGAGACTGAGGGGGGAGAATCGCTTGAATCCAGGAGGCGGAGGTTGCAGTGAGCTGAGATGGCGCTACTGCACTCCAGCCTGGGCGTGACAGAGTGAGACTCAGTCTCAAAAAAAAAAAAAAAAAAAGAAAGAAAAGAAAATAACTTAGACATACAGGAAACAAACGGATAAATCCAGAACGTAGAACACTCTGTATGACAACATAATTCAGTTTCTTCAACAAATCCACTGATTTGGAGAAAAGGGGAATTAAATGCAGAATATCAACTAACTATAATGTGTGGTCCTTGTCGAGATCCTGATTTGAGTAAACCAAGTGTAAAAGGAAATTTTTGAGCTACCTGAAGAAATTCTGATATGGACTGGGTGTTGGTGGACACCAAAAAATTACTGTTATTGTTAATATTGTTAGATGTAAAGATAATGACTGTCTGTAGCTAGGTGAAAAGTGTCCCATCTTCTTAAGAGATGCAGACCTAGGTACCTAGGGGTAAAAAACCTGATGGCTGGAGTTTTCTTTAAAATGCTTTGCATACACAAAAGATGTTAAGTTAGGGATAGCTGAAGAAACAAGCACTGTATAGTAAAGTCTACATAATCAGTGAGTTTAGTTAATGGGCACATGGGAGTTTATGTTACTGTTCTTTATACTTTTGTGTGTTTTTGAAATTTATAATAAAACTTTTTAAAGCTGTAGATATAAAGAGAAGTAGCCATGTCAGGAAAAAAAATCCAAACAGAAGTTAAAAAATTTCTTTCAATCACTCTGTCATTTAAAAACAAATGTGAAGTTTTATTATTATTATTATTATTATTATTATTTGAGATGGAGTATTCCTCTTTTGCCAAGGCTAAAGTGCAATGGTGTGATCTTGGCTCACTGCAATCTCTGCCTCCCAGGTTCAAGCAATTCTTCTGCCTCAGCTTCCCAAGTAGCAGAGATTACAGGTGTGTGCCAACAAGCCCGGCTAATTTTTGTATTTTTAGTAGATGTGGGGTTTTACCATGTTGGCCAGGCTGGTCTCGAACTCCTGACCTGAGGTGACCTGCCCACCTGGGCCTCCCAAAGTGCTGGGATTACAGGCGTGAGCCACCGTGCCCTGCCACAAAGTTATTTTATGTAGACTTTTCTTTTTTTCTTTTTTTTGGGATGAAGTCTCACTCTGTTGCCCAGGCTGAAGTACAACGGTTTGATCTTGGCTCACTGCAACCTCCGCCTCCTGGGTTCAAGTGATTCTCCTGCCTCAGCCTCTTGAGTAGCTGGGATTACAGGCGTGTGCCACCATGCCCAGCTAATTTTTGTATTTTTAGTAGAGAGGGGGTTTCACCATGTTGGCCAGGCTGGTCTCAAACTCCTCACCTCAAGGGATCCGCCCACTTCGGCATCCCAAAGTGGTGGGATTACAGGCGTGAACCACAACACTGAGCCCTAGACTTTTCACACAAGATGTTCTAAGCCACTCACATTAGTTTTTTGTGTGTCTTTTGAGTATATCACTGCATATTTATTGCCAATAAATTTCTACATTGTTAAAATATATATTACCTGTTGTCAATAATCATTACACTGGAGAGTGGAATCCCCAAAACATCACAGCTCTGCAAAAGTTCTTTCTTACGAGTCTCTCCTTGATTGTAGTAATTTCCTGAGGATAACAAATATACAGTGGTAGATTTTTTTAACAGTGGAGAACTATCTATTCACTCATTCTCATCCTGTTTTTGTTCCTTGAAGGATTTAAGCTGCCTGAAAATGTGTGATTATGATACAAAGTTTAAGAAAACACAACACCAAGATACTCCTGTGAGAAGACTACCAGTAGCACAATCTTTAGAACCACCATTCACAATTCTTTCCCATCTTTGTATTTCTCTACCTGTCTTTCTGACTGCATTTCAGTCACATGCTAGAGGCAGCATGGTACACAGCCAGGGTACTAACTTTGAAGTTAAGCAGATTTAGGATCAACCCATGTATGACCACTGAGAACAACTGGGGCCCCCTCTTCATTGACAGCCCTCAAATAACTGTTTAACATTGATTTAAGGATGAAGCTTTCCAAGCTCATTCTTGTTGGTATAGAAAAAGAAAATAGAGGCGGCTACTCTTCAGTATTACAGGAAAATGTGCAGATACACGGAAAGCATCCTCTTTTGAAGAGTTTCACAGCCAGCTATCCAGCATACCCCAAGGGGATCTTGATCCCATTGGCACCCCAAACAACATATATTCTTTATTTTCCCAAAACATATACTATATTCCCTAAAAATAGTTCTGGTAAATAAAACTCTTCTGTATTCTTACAAATAATACGGTGACATTTTGGTGTCACCTAAGTTGGACTCATTTTGAGCAACTGTCCAGCTAATGCACCTGTTAATTCAACTCTCCGATAAATAATTGCAGGTCTGATTTGTGCAAGTTACTTAACTTTCTTGAGCTACAGTTTCTTCACCAGTTAAGTGGGGATAATGGCTATTTCTTTTTTTTTTAGAGTCTTACTCTGTTGCCCCAGCTGGAATACAGCGATCTCAGCTCACTGCAACCTCTGCCTCCAGAGTTCAAGCGATTCTCCTGCCTCAGCTCAGTAGTTGGGATTACAGGCACCCGCCACCACGCCTGGCTGATTTTTGTATTTTTAATTGAGATGGGGTTTCACCATGTTGCCCAGACTGGTCTCGAACTCCTGACCTTGTGCTCCACCTGCCTAAGCCTCCCAAAGTGCTGGAATTACAAGTGTGAGTCACTGCACCTGGCAAACAGGTTTAGTTTTGTATTGTCCTCATCATACTTTTTTTCTTTTTTTTTTTTTTTTTTTTTTTTTTTTTTTTTTTTGAGACGGAGTCTCGCTCTGTTGCCCAGGCTGGAGTGCAGTGGCCGGATCTCAGCTCACTGCAAGCTCCGCCTCCCGGGTTCACGCCATTCTCCGGCCTCAGCCTCCCGAGTAGCTGGGACTACAGGCGCCCGCCACCTCGCCCGGCTAGTTTTTTGTATTTTTTAGTAGAGACGGGGTTTCACCGTGTTAGCCAGGATGGTCTCGATCTCCTGACCTCGTGATCCGCCCGTCTCGGCCTCCCAAAGTGCTGGGATTACAGGCTTGAGCCACCGCGCCCGGCCTTTTTTTTTTTTTTTTGGTCATAAACATTTTGTGTATATTTTGGGTTTCCCTCAAATCTCTATACATACCCTCTCTCATTTTTTTGCTCCCTAGATTACTTGATTTTTGGTGATAGTCTCATGTACATTAGTACTGCAATTGCTAAGTTCAAAGGCTGTGCACATTAGTCTATGATTATGGTTATGAGAAACTGCTTAGAATTGAGGTTAATGTGTTTTATCGGGGCCAGTTTTATTGCTTTGTGTTTGAACTAAGGAACTTACAACAGTTCTGGAAGTTGAAGTCAAGGACCATTTTAACTGTTTTCAATAAGTTTGGTGAACATGTAGGCACTTCAACAGAACACATGTCTGAGATCCTTCAGCAGCTTTTAACTGATACATTCCAGAACAATGTCCAAGTAAGATGGGTACACCCTGGGATGCACAAAATAATCTTTTGGGGGTGGTGGAGGAAAAGCATTAGGATGTCTCCCCCTAATTTTCTTTTCTTTTTTTTTTTTTGAGACAGAGTTTTGCTCTTATTGTCCAGGCTGGAGTACAGTGGTGTGATCTCAGTTCACTGCAACCTCCGCTTCCCGGGTGCAAGCGATTCTCTTGCCTCAGCCTCCTGAGTAGCTGGGTTTACAGGTGCCTGCCACCACACCTGGCTAATTTTTGTATTTTTAGTAGAGACAGGATTTGATTATGTTGGCCAGGCTGGTCTTGAACTCCTGACCTCAGGTGATCCACCCACCTCGGCCTCCCAAACTGAAGGGATTACAGGAGTGAACCACAGTGCTCGGCCATCTCCCCCTAATTTGTTTACCTTGTTTTTTATAAATGTAAGTTTTTGTTAATTTTTTTTTTTTTTTTTTTTTTTTTGAGACGGAGTCTTGGGCTCCTGTAGCCCCAGGCTAGAGGGGCAGTGGCCGATCTCAGCTCACTGCAAGCTCCGCCTCCGCCGGTTCACGCCTTTCTCCGGCCTCAGCCTCCCGAGTAGCTGGGACTACCAGGCGCCGCACCTCGCCCGCTAGTTTTTGTATTTCTTAAGTCGAGGAAACAGGGTTTCACCGTGTTACGCACAGAGGTCCTCGATCTCCTGACCTCGTGATCCGCCCGTCTCGGCCTCCCAAAGTGCTGGGATTACAGGCTTGAGCCACCGCGCCCGGCCTTGTTAATGTTTTTAATGTACACATTAGTCCATATACTTATGATATATTGTAAATAAATATACATATAATGGGAGTATATGCTCCACATTTTTTACCGATAGGAAAATGTGACCAAAGAGTTTTGAGACCATTATTCTAGGAAACAGAAAATGATAAAATTAATGTAATTTCTAGATGTAGAACTACATTATGCGTGTGTGTATAAGCTCATGCACAATTGTATGCTTAGTAGTCTTCCCATAACATACTTCTCAGTCATAACTAGCAATCATAATCACATTTAATACAAAGACATTTTGTAAAGACTCAAATGTATACATTATAATTTATAAAGGTAAACATTTTATTTTACTTAAAAAATTTAAAATTAATTTATTCTAAATAGGTAATAGATTTATATGGTTAAAAAAAAAATCAAAGCTGGGCATACTGGCAAAGTGTCCCAGCACTTTGGAAGGCTGTGGCAAGAGGATCAGTTGAGGCAAGGAGTTCAAAACCAGCCTGGTCAACATAGTGTCTTTACAAAAGAAAAATTTTAAAAATTAGCTGGGCATGGTGGTTCACGCCTGTAGTCCCACCTACTCGGGAGGCTGAGGTGGGAGGACCACTTAAGCCTGGAAGTTCGAGGCTATAGTGAACCATGACCACACCACTGTATTACAGCCTGAATGACAGTGTGAGACCCTGTGTCTCAAAAAAAAAAAAAAAAAAAAGAAAAAGAAAATAAATCAGTAAGAAGCTGGCTCATGCCTGTAATCCCAGCTTCCACCACTTTGGAAGGCGGGAACATTGTTTGAGACCAGGAATTCAAGACCAGGCTGGGGAATATAGCAAGACCTCTCTCTACCAAAAAAATAATAATAATAATAATAAAGGAAAAAAAGCTCCTCTCCCACTCCAACCTGGGAAGTTTTAATTTGTTAGAACAAGAAGTGGACTGGGCATGAAGGCATCATGGTCCGAACACTATCTGGTCTTTTACTAACTATATGAATTTGGAGAAATTCTTTAATTTCTTTAATTTTATTATTTAAAAAAGTTTTACCTTTATACATTGTGATGTAAAATTTGAGTCTTTACAACGTGACTTTACTTTGTATTAAATGTGATTATGAGGCTGGGCGCGGTGGCTCAGGCGTGTAATCCCAGCCTGTAATTACTTGGGAGGCTGAGGCAGGAGAAATGCTTGAACCCAGAAAGCAGAAGTTGCAGTGAGCTGAGATTGTGCCACTGCACTCCAGCCTGGTAACAGAGTGAGACTCCAACTCAAAAACAAAAAGTGATTATGACTGCTAGATTGCTAGTTACGACTGAAAAGTATGTTATGGGAAGGAATAGCTGCAAGGTTTTTCCTTTAACATGACCAAGTAATTCTAAAATGTATTTGGAAGACAAAATGGTACAAGTTTCTTCCCCTATAAAATGAGGGAATTTAGATGCTATGTCAAGATCTATCAAGGGTAACAGAAACCACATCAAATAGTTAAAACAGCAAGAATTTAATGCAAAGATTTTGACACATAACTGTTGGAGGATCTAAGGGTCAAACAGAACAGTGAAGTAATCCAGAGTTTAGAGATAGCTAGAAGTGACTACCAACCCTCGGTTGGTGAGGTAAAGGAAGGAGGCAGTGTTATTGGAGCCCAGAGGCCTGGGTTCCCAAAGGAAGCTGAAACTAAGAGAGCTGGATCCCCTTCTGTTAGGATGTGTCCACAGAACCCAGTCTAAGAAATCATGACTTGGCCGGGCGCAGTGCCTCACGCCTGTAATCCCAGCACTTTGGGAGGCCGAGGCGGGCGGATCACGAGGTCAAGAGATTGAGACCATCCTGGCCAACATAGTGAAATCCTGTCTCTACTAAAAATACAAAAATTAGCTGGGCGTGGTGGCAGGTGCCTGTAGTCCCAGCTACTCAAGAGGTTAAGGCAGGAGAATCTCTTGAACTCAGGAGGTGGAGGTTGCAGTGAGCTGAGATCATACCACTGCACTACAGCCTGGCAACAGAGCGAGACTCCATCTCAAAAAAAAAAAAAAAGAAATCATGACTTAAAAATGAAACTAGAATCAGAAAATGGGCAAAAGACTTGAACAGGTATTCTCTAAAGAAGATACATAGATGGCCAATAAGCATGTGAAAAGATGCTCATCATCATTAGTCATTAGGGAAATGAAAATAAAAACCACAATGTGACATCATCACTGCACACTTACAAGGATGACTATAGTCCAAAAAATGGAAAATTACAAATGTTGACAAAGATGTGGAGAAACTGGAACCATGGTTAATTGCTGGTGGGAACGTAAAACTGTACAGTTGCTGCAGAATACAGTTTGTCAATTCTCAAAAAAATTAAATATAGAATTACCACATGTC